GTGGTGGCCCCTCTCGACGTCCAGCACGGGCCCTGTCTGTGTGGTGGCCCCTCTCGACGTCCAGCACGGGCTCTGTCTGTGCGGTGGCCCCTCTCGCCGTCCAGCATGGGCTCTGCCTGTGTGGTGGCCCCTCTCGACGTCCAGCACGGGCCCTGTCTGTGTGGTGGCCCCTCTCGACGTCCAGCACGGGCTCTGTCTGTGCGGTGGCCCCTCTCGCCGTCCAGCACGGGCTCTGTCTGTGCGGTGGCCCCTCTCGCCGTCCAGCACGGGCTCTGTCTGTGCGGTGGCCCCTCCCGACGTCCAGCACGGGCTCTGTCTGTGCGGTGGCCCCTCTCGCCATCCAGCACGGGCTCTGTCTGTGTGGTGGCCCCTCTCAATGTCCAGCATGGGCTCTGTCTGTGTGGTGGCCCCTCTTGACGTCCAGCACGGGCCGTGTCTGTGTGGTGGCCCCTCCCAATGTCCAGCACGGGCCGTGTCTGTGTGGTGGCCCCTCCCGATGTCCAGCACGGGCCGTGTCTGTGTGGTGGCCCCTCCCGATGTCCAGCACGGGCCGTGTCTGTGTGGTGGCCCCTCTCGATGTCCAGCACGGGCCCTGTCTGTGCGGTGGCCCCTCTCGACGTCCAGCACGGGCTCTGTCTGTGCGGTGGCCCCTCTCGCCGTCCAGCACGGGCTCTGTCTGTGTGGTGGCCCCTCCCGACGTCCAGCACGGGCTCTGTCTGTGTGGTGGCCCCTCTCGATGTCCAGCACAGGCTCTGTCTGTGCAGTGGCCCCTCTCACCGTCCAGCATGGGCTCTGTCTGTGTGGTGGCCCCTCTCGATGTCCAGCACAGGCTCTGTCTGTGTGGTGGCCCCTCTCGACGTCCAGCACGGGCTCTGTCTGTGTGGTGGCCCCTCTCGCCGTCCAGCATGGGCTCTGTCTGTGTGGTGGCCCCTCTCGACGTCCAGCACAGGCTCCGTCTGTGCGGTAGCCCCTCTTGATGTCCAGCGTGGGCTCTAGGGCACTTGGACTTCAGCAGTTGTGGTACTCGGGCTTAGTTACTCTGCAGCGTGTGGGATCTTCCCTGACCAGGCATCAAACCCATGTCCCCTGCATAGACAGGCTGGCTTTTTACCATTGAGCCACCAGGGGAAGCCCTGTTTACAGTTTCTTAAGGAACTTCCATACAGCAAGCCAGTCCAGGGCTCTGTGATGACCTTGATAGGGGAGATGAGGGTGGTGGGCAGGAGGGAGGTGTGAGAGGGAGGGGATGTTTGTATGTGTGTGTTTTAGTGGGTCAGTCGTGTCAGACTGAGAGCCTGGCAGACTCTTTGAGAGCCCATAGACCTCAGTCCACCAGGCTCCTCTGTCCATGGGGTTCTCCAGGCAAGAATACTGGAGAATGGGTTGCCATTCTCTTCTTCAGGGGATCTTCCTGACTCGGAGACTGAACCCGGATCTCCTGCATCGCAGGCAGATTCTTGGCTGCCTGCACCAGCAGGGAAGCCCAATATATATGTTTACACGCAGCTGGTTTACTTCATTGTACATAGAAGCTCACACAGCGTTGTTTTGCTATATTCTAATTAAAAAGAAACTCTTCATGAGTACATGGAAGGTTAAATAGTAGGGAATTCAGGAGGATCCTTCTGGCTGTGACTCTTAGAATCTATCAGGGAATAGAATCCCACAGGGTCCTTCCTTGAGCAGTTAGTGTGAGTAGGAATCCTGGCAAGTGGTTCACTCTCTGTGATGGTTGGAGGAGCGAGGGCAAAGGGAGAGGGAGAAAAAGAGCCTCAGATTTTTCTTTTATAGATTTAAGCATCTCTACCCCTGTTTCTGACAGCCTTTAGTAGCAGAACTCATCACAATGATTGTATCAAAAGTGGTTTTCCTTTTGCAATCACAGTAATGTCTCACCCACATCACTGTGCATCATTAAGCATTCGCGGTGGATGGGGCTTAGCAATCAAGTAGCCTATCCTTCATTTTACTGATGAAGAAAAAGGAGCCCAGGAATATTAGGGAGGATTTGTAAAGCGCAGAGCCCTGTTGACAAATACCGTTCCTACCTCCATTCCAGCATGATAATAGCACCTTAGTTTCCTCTTAGGAAATATTCTTTCCAATTCTCAGCACATACGTTTCAGGTAGGGCTTACCAGAACATTCCTGGCCTTGCCAACAAATTCCAAAGGTCCAGCAATTGGCACAGAACCCAGATCTGGCCGGTTAGTGATTGGACTGGCTGTGTGCTTTGAAACAGCAGTTTCTGGAATAGACTTAGATATTAGAAAACGTAACTTCTTCCCTTCGGGTGAGGTGGCTGAGACGGTGGGGTACAGTCTTGGAACTGCCAGAGACTATTTGCTGACAAAACGGAATAACTCAGTAATGAAGCTAAGAGGGCAGTCAGTGGACAGGAGAAATGTAAAAAGCTCATTTCTTTTAAAAAAATGTTTAGCTGTGCTGGGTCTTCATTTCAGCACACGAACTTTTTCTGGTTGCAGCAAGTGGGGCTGCTCCCCCTTTGTGGTGTGAGGGCTTCTCACTGCGGTGGCTGTTCTTATTGCAGAGCATGGGCTCTAAAGCCTGCAGGCTTTAGTATCCGTGGCATGCAGGCTCTAGAGACAGGCTCGGTAGTATGGTGCACAGGCAAAGTTGCCCCAAGGCATGTGGGATCTTTGTTTCCAGTTCAGTTCAATTCAGTTCAGTCGCTCAGTCATGTCCGACTGTTTGTGACCCCATGGACTGCAGCACACCAGGCTTCCCTGTCCATCCCTTTGTTCCCAGACCAGGGATCAATCCCACGTCCCCTGCATTGGCAGCTGGATTCTTAACGACTGGACTACCGAGGAAGTCCCCAAAGCTCATTTCTGATGATATTATTGAGGCCCTGGATCATGGACTTCTTGGTATTTTCAGTAGCTTTGACACAGTACTCTTTTTTGATAATTCAAGTCATTTTGAATTATATTTCTTCATTTGTGAATTAAAAAAAAAAATCCCTGAGTGCAATAGAGCTACCTGGATAAATGGTGTCTGATTCTGGAGCAGGGGTCTCTCTCTTTCTCATGAAGAATAAAAGGAAAGACAAGACACTGAGAAATACCGAAGGTCATTAATGAGTTCAACTATTTTAATTATGACCAAGAAACTCAGTTTATAGACTCTAAAGCAAAGATGTTCCTAAAAGACTTAGAAGCAATAGGGAAAACCAGTGAGCAGCCACATTATGCTTAATTTTAATCCCCAACCAAAAATGATCAGTTGTGTAAAATGTGTCTTCTCTTTTCAACTTGGCCTGTGATCTGTGAATGTGACCTTGAACATGTTCTTTGTCTTATGTATGGATGTCTGTTTCTGCATGGCAAACCACCACCAAACCGTGGATTTTAAAACAATAATAGTCATTTATTTTGCTCACAAATCTGGAAGTTGACTGAGTCCACGTAAACTTGGAAGCCTTCATGTGTTTGCAGTCAGATGTCAGTTGATTGGATAATAAACTCTACTCGATCTACTGCTTCAAGGATGTTCATCTTATCCAGAAGTTGCCTCATAGGTGCATCCAGAGTAATGTTTGACCAGACATCTGGGTGCCCTGTGACTCTGTCAAGCTGACACATTAAATTAGCCATTCAGTTCAGTTCAGTCGCTCAGTTGTGTCTGACTCTTTGCCACCCCATGAACTGCAGCACGCCAGGCCTCCCTGTCCATCAGCAACTCCCGGAGTCCACCCAAACCCATGTCCATCAAGTCAGTGATGCCATCCAACCATCTCTTTCATCCTCTGTCGTCCCCTTCCCCTCCTGCCCTCAATCTTTCCCAGCATCACGGTCTTTTCAAATGAGTCAGCTCTTCGCATCAGGCAGCCAAAGTACTGGAGCTTCAGCTTCAGCATCGTTAGTGAGTGAAATCGCTCAGTCGTGTCTGACTCTTTGCAACCCCATGGACTGTAACCTACCAGGCTCCTGCGTCCATGGAATTTTCCAGGCAAGAGTACTGGAGTGGGTTGCCATTGCCTTCTCCAGGGGATCTTCCTGACCCAGGGAACGAACCTGGGTCTCCCGCATTGCAGGCAGACGCTTTACCACCATCTGAGCCGTCAACATCATTACCTGGAATCAAATGTGATCGCAGATAGAAACTATTTAGAATCATTCACTGTACTGAATTCGGCACTGTGAACTTGAGAGTTTCTAAAAGTCTGAATGGTTTGAACATCCAGACATCTGCATAATGTTTCAGTGTTGCTTACTCCAGGTGGCTCAGTGGTAAAGAATCTGCCCGCCAATGCAGGAGACACAAGGACGCAGGTTTGATCCCAGAGTCAGGAAGATCCCCTACAGTAAGAAATGGCAACCCACTCCAGTATTCTTGCCTGGAAAATTCCATGGATAGCGGAGCCTGGTGGGCTCAGTCCATGGGGTCGGAAAGACTGGGCATGACTGAGCATGAGCACATGTATATGTACTTATAAAATGTTAGTGAGCATAAAAATACTGAATAAAATTACATGTGTGTGTATATATATATATATATATGTTACAATGTGTATGTGTGTAACACATGTACCTTAATGTACTGCTTAGAATATTAATATTCTAAATCTATAAAATTTATAAAATGCATATACAATGATAGAATAGCATAATAAATATTTTCATATACATTACCCAACTTGGATCATTATCAATATTTTTCAATGCGTTTTCTACCCACTGTACTTTAAATTTCTGCTCTGTTACTTTAAATCAAATCCTAGACAACGTGTCATTTTTGCGCAGGAGCCCTCCAGGTGCATCTCTAACTGAAAAGGGGACTTTGTCTTCCCTGCAGAGCTTCAATTCCCCCATCACATCCAACATTTAAAATAAACCCTTACTATCATCTAATATTAAGAGGGTTCTAACAGTGATTTTGAACACACATGATTTTTATCTTGTCTTCACCAGTCATCTCGCCTCACACCCCCGTGAGTCTGCGATGGTGAAAACCTGGTGAGGAGAGCCCGTGGCATGGATGAAAGCGCCTGAGGGGCACGGGAGCAGAGCGGGCCTCACGCTCGTCTGCGTGGCGGACTCGAAGCACTTGCCACTCTCAGAGAAATGGGAAGCCTGTGCCGGCTGTCCGGGCGGCAGACGGGTCCTCCGTCCTGTCGGCCTGCTGGTCACACCGGGTGTCGCTCTGCTCCCTGCGCTCGGGACGGCCGCCGGCACGTCCACAACAGTCACAGTCCTAGAACATGCTGGTCTGTCTCGCTGCGAGAGTGACAGTGCTTTAAAGATGAAACACGGTGCCTGCCAAAGAAGATCGCATTTTCGCCTCTAATTGAGACAGCTTAATAACATGAGGGACGGTGCACAGAACTTCTTCAAACTCTGGGCCGAGGCAGACTTTCTGCTGGGCGTCTGCCAGCCCGCTGCACCTGCGGCATCTCTCCGCTAATATTTCAGAGTGTCGGCGTAAGTGGCCCAGGAGCCCCCTGCAGAACCATGGTAATTGCTGAGATGTGCCTAGACCAGCTGAGATAACAGCGCGCCAAGAAGCAGGGAAAATACCAACAGCTGGGGTTCATGCTACTAATTTTGTTTTCTTAAAAGTAAACTTTGTGGAATGACAAATCCCACTAAGACCTAATCTGGAATTAGACAACTACCAGTTCTTTCACTGACCTTTGAACTCCTGTGTTCAGTCACTGCGCACATGGCAAATCTGTGTCAGAGGGTGGGCGGCGCTCTCCCCTCGCAGCAGTGATGGGCGTCGTCAGTGCCGACCCCTCTGGGTGTCTGCCCTCAACATTACATCTGTCTCGACACCGGGCCCTGCGTAAAAGGGATTAGGCGTAGCTGGCATGTGATATGAAACCCACTCCCTTTTCTAGTTTGTTCTCAGCACGCAGTTTGTCTCTTTGGGGAAGGGAAGCAAACCACAGCGTGCTGCCCACGTGGCGTGCTTGCTGTTCAGTTGCTGTCGTGTTCAACTCTTTGCAACCCCATGGACTTCAGCCTGCCAGGCTCCTCTGTCCATGGATTTCCCCAGGAAAGAATGCTGGAGTGGGCTGCCATTTCCTTCTCCAGGGAATCCTCCCAGAACCAGAGGTCAAACCCACGTCTTCTGCACTGCAAGTAGATTCTTTACCACTGAGCCTTCAGGGAGGCCTGGTATCCCACGGTAAACAGACCAAAAATGACACAGAGCTCTGAATGGGCAGAGACGGTACAACTCTCATTCACCACTGTGCTCTTAGAACCAAACCTGGGGGCGGGAATAAGAAGCTGTTAAAAAATATGCATTTAAAAATTCAATGAAATTGAACAAAAGAAGCATCACATGTGCTATTGGAATCACATACCTAGGTTGATATGCCTACAAAATAAGAACAGTAGCAATGAGAATACAAAGTAATTAATAGGCAGCTGATACTAAACGAGTTCTGATGCAGGCACCGTGCTGATGTGTTTCCACGAACAGTCTCCCACTGTCACGCACAGCAGCCTTCTGTGACAGATCCCGTTATTGGCTGCATGTCTCCAGTGGGGAAACTGAGGCTGCGTGAAGTTAAACAGCGCTCAAAGAGCAGCTGGACAACCCGAGCTTACTGTCTGCGTGGCTCTCCAACCCACTGCAGCCTGCTGACTCTTGTGCGTGGGGTCTGGCCAGTTTCAGGCGAACATGATCGTCTCTAGGTGTCTTTGCGAACTTTCTCTGACATGGCCACCTCTTCCTAAGTTGAAGAACATTCAATGTAATTTCACTCGTTGCGGTAGTAGTGGTTGTGGTTTAGTTTCTAATTTTTGTCTGACTCTTTTGTGACCCTGTGGACTGTAGCCCACCAAGCCCCTCTGTCCAAGGGATTTCCAAGGCAAGAATACTGGAGTGGGCTACCATGCCCTCCTCTAGAAGATCTTCCCAACCCAGGGATCAAACCCACATCTTCGTCTCCGGCATTGGCAGCTGGGTTCTTTACCACTAGCAGCACCTGGGAAGCACATACATGGTATACACGTGTTTGTGTGTGTGTGTGTGTGTGTGTGTGTGTGTGTGTATGTTACTCACTCAGTCATGTCCAGTTCTGCAATTCCATGGACTGTAGCCCACCAAGGTTCTCTGTCATGACTCTCCAGGCAAGAATACTAGAGTGGATAGCCATTCCCTTCTCCAGGGATCTTCCTGACCCAGGGATTGAACCCGGGCCTCCTGCTTTGTAGGAAGATTCTTTATCATCTGAGCCACCAGGGTAACCCAGATATATGTATGTATGTATACACGTGTGTGTGTCTGTGTGTGTGTGTGTGAAGAGAGAGTATACCAAGTAACACATGTACTTCAAAAATAAAAATTAGGGATGTTTCCTTTGCTAGGACCTAGTCACAGTTATAAAAGGAGAAGTTTTTTAATGCTCTCATTAATATATTTGAGTTTATGAAACTAAGCATTATTAATTCTTCCATTACAAATACAGTAGCGGTCAAATAGCCCCCCTGTTTTTTCAGTTGATTGTCACTGAACAATGATGTCATGGCCTGTTAGAGATTGTTAACTTTTGTCTGCCTGCTTATCAGTCTACCTACCTACCTTGCTTTTGATGAGAAAATACGCTAACTCCTTTCTATACGGTCATATGTGAGTGGTTACCTTGGCGAGACAGATCCTGTGCAGTCTCTTTTGATTATTCATACCGAACATGTGTAAGGGCTTCCCATGTGACTCTAGTGGGAAAGAACGTGCCTGCCAATGTGGGAGATGTCAGAGAGGAAGGTTCCATCCCTGGGTCAGAAAGATCCGCTGAAGGAGGCATGGCAACCTGCTCCTGTATTCTCGCCTGGAGATTCCCATGGACAGAGGAGCCTGGAGGGTTATAATTCATGGGGTCAAAGAGCTGGATACAACTGAAGCGACGTAGCATGCATGTACACAACACATGAACTTTTTGCCTAAGGAACATGTTTTATAAGACTTTGAGTCTATTAAAAATTATCTTTGCCATTGGTACTGTGGTACAAGGGTCCTAAAGACCTCCTGGATGGAAAGGAATTAATACCTAAGTGACGCTTCCCCCAACCATGTTGGCCAGGGTGATTTTGACCAAGCTCCAGTGATGGAGGAAGATGCTGCTATTGCTCAGATAAACTTGTCATGAGGAATTGCAGACGTGCTTTGGGTAGACTGAATAGTGGTCTGTCAGTGATGTCCGTGTTCTAAACTACTGGTGAATTTTACCTTACTTGACAAAAAGGACTTCACAGAGATAATTACGGATCCTGAGATGAGATTATCCTGGATTTTGCATGTAGGACAAATGGAGCTTTGTAAGAGAGAAGCAGGAACGTTCAAATTAAGAAAAAAAAAGGAGAGAGAGGGAGGAGATGAAATGATGGAAGGAGAGATGGGAGCTACATGGCCAAAAAATGCAAGCAGCATCAGATACTGGAACCCAGTGTAAGTTAAATTTATGTAAGTTTAACCAAGTCCTAGTAGTTACTAGGACTTATGCCAAGGCAGGAGACATAAGAAACGTGGGTTCAATCCCTGGGTGGGGAAGATCCCCTGGAGGAAGGCATGGCAAACCTCTCCAGTATTCTTGCCTGGAGAATCCCATGGACAGAGGAGCCTGGTGGACTACAGTCCATGGGGTCACAAAGAGTCAGACATGACTGAAGTGTCGTAGCACACACCCACAGTTTGTGTGCAGTTTCTGGCTATTGTGAGTAAAGCTTCTGTGGACGTTTATATTCGGGTTTTGTGTGAGCATGGTTTTTTATTTTTCTGGGGTAAACGTCAGAGGTGCACTTGCTAGTTCATATGGTAGCTGCATGTTTTGTGTTTTTAAGCAACCACTTGACTGTTTTACAGAGTGGCTGTACCATTTTGCGTCCATCAGCAGTAAATGAGTGATCAAATCTTTTTCATTATTTCTTGGTTACTATTTTTGTTGAGCTTCCCAGGTTGCTCAGATAGTAAAGAATCTGCCTGCAATGTAGGAGGCCTGGGTTTGATCTGTGGGTTGGGAAGATCCCGCTGGAGAAGGAAATGGCAACCCACTCCAGTGTTCTTGCCTGGAGAATTCTGTGGACAATCAACCCTGGTGGGCTACCGTCCATGGGGTTGAAAAGAACTGGGCACAACTGAGCAGCTAATGCATATTTTTATTTTAGTAATTCTTATAGAAATGTTCTGATACCTCATTGTGGTTTCAGTTTGCATTTCTCTGACATGTAATGTATTGAACGTAAAGTGTTTGTTATCTGTATAGCATCCAGAGTGAGCTTCTTTTTTCGTATCTTTTCCTTATATTCTTTTTGGACCTTTGAGTGGTTTCTCTCTTTCTTTTTTTTTTTTTTTTACTATTTTGTTTTGCAAGCTCTTTTTATATATCCACTGCAATTGTTTTCCCCCTATAGGGAAATATTTTTTTTCTCTTTTTTTGATTTCAAGATTGTTTTTGTTTTTCTTTGAAGTTTTTCAAATTTTAGCTATGAATATTTCCATATGAAGTTCTTTTCATCTTTCCTGTCTGGGTTTTGTTCAGTTTCTTGAGTCTCTAGGTTAATGTCTTTTGCCAAACTTGGGGAGTTTTCAGAATAAAGATGCTTATTTCTTTAAGTCCTTTTTCAGCCCTATGCCTTTTCTCTGCTTCTCTAACTCTTATCACACAAATTTAATATCTTTGTACAGACCCAGCAGTCCCTGGTGCTCTATTTTTTTTTTTTTTCCAGTGTATGTTCTCTCTTTTGTTCAGGCTTGGTCATGTCTATTGTTCTGCCTATTGAATTTTTTAGAGTGGTTATTGTATTTTTCCATTTAAAAATTTCCATTGGGTTTTCTTTATATCTTCTATTTCTTTTCTAGAACTTTCTATTTTTTATTTGCTTCACTCATGTTTATAATTGCCTTTGAAGTGTTTTTGTGATGGCTACTTTAAAATCTTTTTCAGAAAATTTAATTCAAACATCACTATCATTTTGGTGTTGGCATCTATTGATTACTTTTTTTTTTTTCATTCAGCTTGGGCTCTTCCTGGCTCTTGGTATGATGAGGGATTTTTAATGGAAAGTTGGACGTGTTGTGTATTATTTTTTAAGACCCTGAATCTTAAACTGTCTGTTTTATCTGGAACTCCTAACCCTGTTCTCCCAGAGGGAAGGAGTGGTGACCTTGCTGCCATATGGGGTAGAAATCCAGGTTGTTCCCAGTGGAGTTGGAAGCCCACACTCTCCACATGGTCTCCACTGACACTGCAGAGTGGGACCTTACCACCTGCTGGGCCTTCTCTGATACCATCCCCGTGGGGAGGTTAGGGTGACTTATGTCAGCAAGCCAAAGGTGGA